ACCAACTATAAGCAAATAACTATATTTTCAGACCAAAAATGAGTTCTATGTTACTTTTCGTTTTTGCTACCCACTGAACTAGAAACTTACAATAGCTTCTTGCCCTTTGGCAATGGCTTTGAAGACAGCAAAAGAGAAAAAATATTTACAAGAGCTATCAATAAAGAAATGAAACAGAAATGCATATAGTGTAGTTCACATAAACAAATTAACAGCTCCAACTTTAGAAATGTAAGAAATGCAAATCATTCCAATATATCTTCTTTGGTTTTAATTAGTTTATGACTTCTCAGAAAATTTATAGTAGTTGAACTGCTGACACAAGCAGAACTGAAAATTGAAACATGCCTTAAGATATAAACAGGATTTTACTTCTTTTACCTCCATTTCTCTTGTGTCTGCATTTAATGCGTAATGTGTCAAAGGAATTCTCAAATTGTGAATAATAAATGGGCATCCTCCAATGCACTCCAGCAGTCAGCTTCCATGGCCTTACCATTGTATCTCTGTTTCCTTGATTTTCCTATGCCCTCATTTCTTTATTTAGCTTAGAAGCTCAATGTAAAAAGGCAGAGATGATGGAAAAAAGACTGTGATAACAGCCTTGTATACGCTGTACAGCCTAGATTAGTAAACTATGACATCTTCAGAGTGTGAAGAGTTGCTGTGTTACAGCCTTGTAGCATTTCCCATGGGTAACCTCAAATTCACTTAAGAAAAAGCTTAACTTCTAGTTGATATATTTGCAAATAGCAGCCCAAACAGGAGTAAGTTTAGATCATTAGAAAGTTTAGATCATTAAAAGGAGAAATGTATAACACAATCTATCAGATAAATATTTTTTCCCTATGTGGGAGTTGTTAATTTTCCTTAGCCGTCAATCCTGTAATCTCCAGTGAGTCCTAGTTCTTATCATACTCCTCAGGGGTGAAGTTCACCATTTAAATCTATTGAGATAAAAAAATCTTTCCTTCCAGGTCTAGAAGAATGAGATCTGTGGTGCTCCTCATCCTATTTCTATTGCTGCTATCCTAGATGCTTGCCTTCCCCAACTATTTGCTGTATCTTTTTTCAGATACCAAAGAAATTTCTCACTGCATAACCCCCTGGCTCCCTTTCAAACTACTGCTGTTGATATAACTTTTTTCCCCTTTTCAATAAACTCTTTTCTAGGTCATCAGTGTCAGACTCTATACTTGGCTTCCTATAGCTTTTACAGATGGAGAGATTTTTTTGCTCTGTGCAAAGCTCTTAAAAGTTACTGTCTTTCTAGCTCTTCTCTCAACACATTTCTATAATGGTTTTTGACAAGTAACAAAAGCAATTAAAATTTGAAAGCTCAGAACACCAGCATGTTGGATGGTTTTCAGGATGCAGTCAATATTGCAGTTTGCCTGCAAGAAACTTTTTTTCTCTCCATTCATTATGTTGGCATACCTTTGCATATGATTGTCCTCAAGAATGGAGTTCTGCATAGAGCATCAGAGATGTAATCTCTGACTTATGGCAATATGATTTGCTTTGGTAATTATCTGCTATACTTGATTCTCAGTGACATTTTGAAAATCAGACACAGTTTCCTTTTTTGAAAAAATGTTAGACATCTTCTTTGTAAAATGTTTTAAGAAATTTAATGAGACAAAAATAGTATGTGAGAGTTCAGATACTTTCCAGTATTTTACTTATATACTTTATTTGAGTCAAAATTTTTAAAATTTCATTGAAGGAAAAACTTTACACTGTTTCTTTGAGAATGTTTATCATGGGGTATGTTATTACAGAAACTTCTGGGTATGTCATGCAACATCTGTTTCTACAGAAATCTATTTACTACCCAAGAGAATATAAAAAACAAAAATTCACCATGGCAGTTCTTTGAAATTAAAAATTTTGTACTGGTTCCCTTTTTCCTTAATTTTGTCTTATACCAATATTTCATTGTATCTTATAGTTAGTTGTATAATGTTAAAAGTACAAGAAAAACAATTTAATATTGAGTGAAAAAAATACAATATTGAAAGAAGAAAAGTCTATTTTTTAAATGTGTATTTATTCTTTACAATATAAAAATATCAGTTCTTTGTTTGACAAGTCCTTCCTCCCAGATAAGCAAGGTTTAATTATAGCTTTTTTCACATTTTTTTCACTGTAACATTGAATTGTATAATTTTCCCATTCCTTCATTTTTTTTTCTCTTCTTTCCTTTTTCTCTTAACTTTAATATTTTTTCCTCATAATTTTCCTCCCATCTGTCCACATTTACCCTTGTAGCATACATTCTCACATCTCAATGTTCTTTCCTTCATATCTTTGCCAATAGCCTCTGCACTAAAATTACTGCAAGATCCCTGATCAGGAATCTTCAGTTTTTCTTCATTACGTCAGTCTCCGATGTTTTTGTTGCCAGCAAGCATTTTCATCACTGATACTGGAGGTCTGCACTGGATCATTCACTCTTTTTAAAATTTTAGTCAAGGGCAACAAGCACAGAGCTCAGCCATGCACCTCCTCTTGACTCTGTGTAGAACCCAATGGACCCCAGACTTCATTATCAATGGGTTTTTCTCTTTTGAATTTACAAAATAATGTGAAAGTTGTATTGCAGCTCAACAGCATACTGTTATCATATTGCAAAAGGAATTTACATGCCACAGTGTGTCATGGTGCCTGCATGAGGCTATTTAGGAATGCTTAAGGATCTGCAGACTGTTGGAATAATGTTGAGGCAGGAAAAAAAATCCTGGTGCACTCTTGTCCATACTGCCTGAGAAGAGTTGTTGGTGTATGTTAATAACAGTGACTGTGCTTGAGTGTTATGTGAGAGTTCTAGTTGGCCCAGAACAACAAAACACAAAATATTTTGGGGGCAGGATGTATATGTAACAACTTTGCAAAGTATGTTATATCATGGACATTTTATAGTCTTCCACAGCATTATGGTCTTATGTTCTCTCGAAATTTTTCAGATTAAAGAATTATCACCTCATTACAGTAAGGTTCTGTAACTTGAATGAATAAAGTATAACAGTATATATAACAGTGTAATAAGTGACTGGTGTCATCAGTCATCAAAATACAACATTGTAGAAGTAGACTTGATGTAAACAACTAAACTTGATATAAACAAGTAGAAGCAGGACTCCAAGGCCTACGGCAAATAAGTAAATAAATAAATACCTTATATTGCACCCACTCCAAGTGAAAAGAACAACACTTAATGAATTTATAACAAACTCACCATGCTGGATATTCCATATTTCAAAAATAGGGGGGAGTGTGGAGGTGTGTTGTGGGTGTTGCTTATGTACAGAAGTAAAGCTAAAGAACTTCAGTGCTGAGTTCTTGGTTTATCAGAAATTGTATCACTTCCCAGCTAATATATGTATTTCTTGTGTGAAGCCTGTTACCAAATATATTGTGATATTATGCTGATGTGGGATGATATTGGCAGTTTTTCTAAATGTCACTGTCAAATGCCATGCAAAATAAAATGTTGGCAAAAGTGGGTTAAAATAAATGTTTTAAAATTTTGCACAGAGCTTGACAGAAAGTATAGCATAAAGAGTAACCACCTGAAACAGATCTTGTATCCAGTTTAAAAAAAATCTAACTCTTTCACTCAAATGTGTGTGCAGCAGTCTAATGGGCAAATATATGCCACACTGGCTGTTTTTTTGCACTAGATTTTCACAGAGTTACATGGATTTCATTTTTCCATAGATTATGATAAAGACATTTAATAGTGTAACTACACTGGTAAGGAAAAATAAGAAATTTTCTTGTTTGTTGGTTTGTAATAGGAAGATGAACCTGGCAGAGGTATTCAGTACTTATCACCCTTCTATTGTTTGCTAAAATACTCCAATCTCATAACCCCACAATTTGGAAACCATGTGACAAGGAATACAAGAAGAAAGCTCTTTTCTTCTAAAGTCTCTTTGCATCTATCAGGCTCCATCTCTCTCTCTCTACAACTGCTTGTGCTTCAAATTCTCACTGTTTCCATTTTTTTTTTTTTATTTTGGACTTTTTTTCAGAGGCTAGTAATTAAATAGTGGTGGCAACAAACTGAAAATAAATTTTACTCATATGAATATATATAATATATATATATATTATTATATAGACATATAACTATTTATTGCTGCAACATTCCTTCCCCTGCATACTCTTTATGCCTCTTAATTTCTTGGACCTGAAGGAATATGTGTGGCAACTTCCTACTCTCCTTAGTGCCTACAAATGCTCTTGCAATATGTATGTAATAAAGCACAAGGTTTTCCTTGTCTATGCCAAATGGACCCATAGTTAACGGAAGGGTGAAAATATTTTATGTCACTATCTCCCCCTTTATCTTATTTATCTTTAATAGTTTAGAACATGTAATATTCACTCTTTTCCTCTTCCTTTGCCTTCCTTTGCCTTCCTCTTCCTCCAGACCTCTTCAAATCACGTGTCTTTGGTCACTGTCCTTTCAGATGTTTTCTGAAAGCTCACTAAAACTTTAAAACCTTTAATAAGCACTAAAACATGAAAGTCTCATTTTAGTTTTTACTAAATGAGTTTTATATTCTACTGAGTATCAAAAGGATTTTGGATTTTGCATTGTGCAAAAATTTTACAATAGTTATCCTCATAATTCCAGATATTCAATTTGACAAGGGTTCATATGCTACCAACAGCATAGCATAGGATGAAAAGACTTGCAAATTGGGCCCAAAATGTTTGTCAAAATTCTCTTGATTCCAATAAAAATACAAGAGTTTTAAGTACTCTTATTTATATAATGTTAGTTACTATTCAACTCCTCCCATTTTTCATCTACTGACCAGAAAGGCTTCCTGGAAAATTTTAATTCTAGACTGTGCATTTTCATAGATTAGGGCTTGCTAGTTTTTGGAATCCCCATGCTTCCATTTGATGGGAAACAAACAGTAAATAACTTTTGTTTTTTTCATGTTTTACTTCACTGAATTGTTATTCTTGTTCTGATATTGTAGATAATACGGCCAGTATTCTGACAAGACGAAGGAGATACAGTCGAACCACTCAAGATGTCTATTACCTTCCCGTTTTGATTTCTGATGGTGGCGTGCCCCCTCTCAGCAGCAGCAGCACCCTCACCATCCGGGTTTGTGCCTGCGAGAGGGACGGACGAGTGAGAACTTGCCATGCTGAAGCTTTCCTCTCCTCGGCTGGCTTGAGCACGGGAGCTTTAATTGCCATCCTGCTCTGCATTGTCATCCTTCTTGGTGAGCCATTTGCAATACTAAATAGTGCTGTCCCTCCAATGCCTCTCGGAATCTGGCAGGGCACAAGGTTTCAGTATGGCATGCTTTTGAAACAGTGGTTGCCCTGTAGTAGAAGGCAATTAGACACAAAAAGCTGTGATTAGAAGGTAAAGGTTTAGCTAGAGTTCATAGGGGAAAAGTGCCTTTAAAGTACATTTTAGAATATCTGGAATCCAGTAGAAAATTTTTTCAGAGGCCATCAAGTAATTAGCACTGGAGATCTTTTTTTTTTTCCATAATTTGGAAAGATTTCAAAAAGAGAGGACTCCAATACCATGTCTTGAACAGAGTGAAAAATTATAGAAAATAGATGGGCAAAGGTTTTTGAAATGCATTATGCTGTAAGAAGCATCATTAGCACTCTACAAAAGCCATTTCTTAATTACCTTTGTGGGATAAACTAATAGCAATGCACAACACAATCCACAGGGACAAGGGACATAGGAGACTATAAGCAGACTCTTAAGATTAATGCCATTACAAGTGTGTTTCCTCTTGACTCTTTTTAGGTTTTTTATTTTTCCAGGTCAATTCCAATGTTACCATTAGTTAATATTGTGGTTGGTTTTGGTTTTTTTTTTTCCCTGTCAGAGACACAACTTGCTGCGTGCATGACTGTGCTACTCATGTGATTTTCTGCACAGAGATGGCAAGAGATAATAGCAATTGCAGTGTAACCGAGAGGATATTTTGAGGACTTTTTCCCCAAAGACTACATTTTCTAAGACCTACTTTCTTTACAGCTTGCTTCAGTATTTTCTTGTCAGAAGGCTATTTTAAAATATATAGTTATACATTTATCTTGTAATTTTGTATTTTATTACAAAATTGAATATTCATAAGAAAAAAAGAAATGTTTTCCATAATAATTAAATTTATATGCTAAACATTGGTTTTAACGAAGCACTGAAAGCCCTGGATTATGCTTCTGAAAAATGCTAACTTTAGTTGCTCATTTTTCATTTACCTGAAAGAATGTTATCTCCATTTATCTCCTTTATGAGATCCCTAATAAACTAAGTAGCAGATGATCCCAAATACCAGTACTGAAAATACCAGCCTGAAAATATTACACCTCTGTATTTTTGACTTAGTGTCTGCTATTTCTGTAACATATTCAGATGTAAACTTTAAACCTACTCTAATATCTGCAGTTTTCTCTTTAGCAATTGTGGTCCTTTTCATCACCCTAAGACGTAGCAAGAAGGAGCCTTTGATCATTTCAGAAGAAGATGTCCGGGAAAATGTTGTGACATACGATGATGAGGGAGGTGGAGAGGAAGACACAGAAGCATTTGACATCACAGCACTGCGGAATCCATCTGCTGCTGAAGAGCTAAAATACCGGAGGGATGTTCGGCCTGAAGTGAAGCCTCTGTCCAGGCATCATCCCTCCTCCAGCCTTGACAGTATAGATGTTCAGGAGTTCCTTAATCAAAGACTGGCAGAGGCTGATCTGGACCCCAGTGTGCCCCCATATGACTCCCTGCAGACATATGCCTATGAGGGTCATAGATCAGAAGCTGGGTCTATCAGCTCTCTGGATTCAGCAACGACACACTCTGACCAGGATTATAATTACCTTGGAGACTGGGGACCTGAGTTCAAGAAGCTAGCTGAACTCTATGGGGAAATAGAACCAGAAGGAACAACTTAGTTGTAATTCCCAGAACAGAGAAGTTCCTAAACTACTGGACAGATAATGACAGCAATGGTAACAAAAAAAAAAAAAGTGAATACAGTACTTGGAACTGAGTAAGTTGTATGCAGTTACTGTAGAACAAGTGCCCTTTTCATATTTGAAACTGGGTTCTCCAATTGAAAGAAAGTCAAATTTTGGAAAATACAGAAAAAAGAATCTATTGTCCCTTGTGTATTTCTTTTTAATTGCTCATTAAAGTGTCTGGTACCTTATCTGCAACAATACCTAAAGTAAAGCCAAGAAATGACATTTTTATTGCAATATGCGTAACAGCTCCAAGCTGCAGTAAGTTTATGGTCATGTCTGTTTGAGAAGAGAGCTAAAAAAGGATCAAATGTCTTGCAGGTGGTTGTGATGTTGCATTTCTAGCTGTGCTCTAGGCCTTGTGATCCCAACATGAGGTAGACAATGACGTTTACTATCAGTGTGAGAAGTGCTACCAGTCTGTTTCCTTTACAGAGGTGATAAGCCACACCTGTCCTCTTAAATAAATGGTTCTTTGACGATTTAATCTTATTGGCTTAGCAGGTTGCATTGAGAAGCTGTCATTTCATTATGTCCTTCATAATCTTGTCATCCATAACCAGCTAACAGATGGAGGGCATCATTATCTGTAGCTCAAACACAGCTCTAGCCCATAACCCCAGACCTGCTCTGTTACTGAGTGCTAGAGGAACTGTTGTTTCCAGTATTGTGCTTTTTCTTTTTGTCTTTTCATGGGAACATCATTCATCTAAATGGAATAGGCCCAAAGTACTCTTTATGCAGCAAAGCAGATGAAGCATAGGTTTTTTCAATAAAAACAACAATGGCAGCACCATTAAACTACATGGTTTTTTGGTTCACTGTGCTTCACTTATGTCAAGAGCTGAAGATTTTTAAATCTTTTGCTGGTCTGAAGCTACAACAGTCTGTTTAAAACCCAGAGTTCTTAATCACAATGTTTTTCTATTTCTGTGTGTGACTAAAAGCAAAATAGAGCTGCTGGTAAGACATTGGGATTGTGAAAATTGAAGCAAGGAGAATAAGATGATGATGCATTTTTCTTTTAAATTCAATCTACTGATATTTATTTCTCTTAGAGCATTTGCCACCTCAGCAGAACAAGATGGTTTTTCCCTATTTCAAGCATCATGGAAACAAGAGCATTTTAAGTCAGTGAAAGAAATATACCATTACTGTGGTTCCTATGGATTAAGTAAATTGATTTCTTACATTAGTAACTTTGGAGCATTGCAGAAATGATAGTTCTCCTTAACATAGCAAGCTGCTTAACACCTAATCCAGCAATTATTTTTTTTTCTTTTTTTAGCATTGCAGCAGCAGAACTGCTAAACAGTTCTGCTTAACATAGCTAGCAGCTGATTAGCACCTCATCTTGCAGACTTGGATTTTTCTTTTCCTTTTGGAATTTTAACCTTTTCTTTGTCTTTCTGGTGATAATACTGTGAGAGGACCAGGAACTCATAATATCTCATGAGAGATTATGACCTATAATACTCACAATCATTATCAACAGTCCTCTGCTCCTAATTCTAGCTCCATTTTAGTCAAGTTGACTTCTTTCAGTATGCATTTGATTGGAAAACCATCCAGAGTATAAGCTGTGTACTTTTTTTCTTACTCTGCGGTTTGGAGTGCAGAGTGATACAGATTTGTATGCTGCACTAGATTCCTCCCTCTGCATTTTAGGTGCCACTTATATTCAGCTTAGTAAAGAAGAGTCTATATTGCTGATCTACTGTGAGCCACACAGGTGAACTAGATAATTAAGCCTTCTTTTCTTTACTCTATGGTTGGATAGGTCCTAGACATGACTGAAATTTCTGATCAGTTTACTTTGAAGAGATTTTTTTTTTTTCTCCTGAGATGTAGTTGACTGCTTATGGTTTAAACAGCCTTCTGGAAAAAATAGCAAGCAGCTCTGTAAGCAACTTTTACACTCTGAAAAGTATTAGTTTTACTGTAGTTCCAGGATTTTTTTTCCTGCACTATTTTGTTTAAAATTTGTAATTACTCTTCTTTCTTTCAGAATCTGAACCCACATGAAAATTTAGTAGGGAAAAATATCTGAACCCTAAGATATTCTGCTGATGATTTGAAAGTAGTATAATAATTTGTGTTAATTTTTTTATATGCTTTTTATGAAATACAGAATCTTTTAGAAAAGCATTTAAGGAGGCATTCTTACTGTAGAGTGAAGTTAGATGCAGTAAGAGTTACACGCAAGCTGAGAATGGTTGTCTTTTATTGTCTTTTTTGGGGGTAGAACTAGGATATGTTTCAGTTTTGTCCCAAATAAAGCAACTAGTATTGTGTGATTTTATTAGGAACAATTTTCTTTTTATTTAAGTCACACTTGCTTTATGCCAACATCTAAATTTTTATACTGTATGAGTAGCGTGTTAAAAGCAAAATGTTTCAGCATTAGTACTACCATAATACTTTGTATCACAGCTGCATGAAAATTACATTCATTGTTGTATTATAGTTTTGAGAACTGGGTATTAGTTATCTTTATGTCTATTCCCTCTGGCCCTACACCGAAGCAGGGAAAATCAATTGTATTTTGTGTTTAAAGCAGTGTTTGTGCCATTGTTTTTTTTAATTTACATCACAGAACGTTCAGGCTTACAGGCAACAGAAGTGCAGTGACACAAGCAAATAGTCATTCCTTATGCTAATGGTCAGTTTAAGTTAATAATAACTCAGAGAAATAATATTTCCCTTTTTGCCATTCCTGGTGCTGTCTTTGCTGCTATACAGCACATGCATCATACCCCAGGAGACCTGAATCCTTTGAAACTCTGCAGGGTTGTTGAGACGCTGCTTCTGTGATGCTGCGGTGTGTCCTGTTTGGTGCGTCCTACCCACAGTGATCACCAGATGTGCTTTTCTATCATGATATGTCTGCATGCTTGCTATGCTTACTGTGTTCTATTCAAATACACATCACAGTGTCGTGTTGTTTGCATGACAAATAACAGAATGTTAAATCTTCAGGGCCACAGAAGAAGGCCTCACAGTGCAGAAATAACAAGTTTAAAATTTTATTAACCCAATCATTTTTTTTTTTCCTTTAGTCCTTTATATCCTCAAACCAAATTTAAACTATTTTTGAGAAATTTTCTGTTGACCTAGATTCTATGTTGAAGTAAAAGAAAATTAACACTGGATGGCACAATCATTTTTGTAGCATTGCTGATTTAAACACACCATATATTCAGTGAAAGTATTGTTGGAAACTTTTTCTCAGTTTATGGTTAAGTCTGATTATATATACTATGCTTAAAGCTTTCATGGATCTTTTATGTACTCATATTCTCAAATATTTTCCTATTAGCCTAAATAGTAATCCTGTTGCTGCTTAACAACTAAATGCTGAAAACTGCCAGTTTGACTTAAACTGAAAATACTGAGTAAAGTTAAATGGCACATGCAAAGTGATACTTAAGGGCTTTTCTATTTACAATTTGATTTCTACAGCAACCATTCAACTAATAGTACATTTCAACCAAAATAATTAGCTGCATTCCTTCAAAAAAACTGTCTTGCTTGTAATGGTGAGGGCACTTGGTATGCTATAATCTTAACAAGTCAAAATAATCTGAAAAAATGGTCAGTATAAGAATTGAAAAATGTGAAACTTAATTGTCAAACTAAAACCTGTCAAAAATGTAGTTTAACGCACTTTAAAGACAAGAAAGAGCTTGAATTCAGCTGGTGTTAGATTAAGATTCATACATTGAAAACAAATTAATTTGTTTATCAGTGTTACCTTTTATTACATACACATAGAATACTGTAAAATTTGAAAGTAACTTCACTCTGTTATGCACTTTATTTTTTTGCATTTTTTTAGAAAACTAAAATAACTGCAAACATTTTTGAGTTTTAATTCTAATTGATGCAATTGTTTAAATTGTGAATACTGAAAGAAAATATCTATGGGAGAGTATTATTTATGGTATTTAAGAGGAATTACAAAATTTTTGTGGTCTAAAATTTTTTTTAAATTATCCTTTAAAAAATATAAGTATTGGACCTGTCTGGAATTAACCAAACTCATAAACTCACACAAGGGTAACTAAGGGAATATTCTGAATGCAAAGAAGGATATGAAATGATGCTGCCTAGCGTTACTTTGTGGATTATAAAGTGCTAAGATCTTGTACTTGCAGTACATATAAATGGCACAGTGCATTCTAAGGAACATTAGAAGTGTGTTAGAAGTTTTGGGCCATTCTTATTTTTCCAAAGTCTCCAAAAATATATATATTTTTTTTAACAAAAGAGTAATGTAAAGTATACCTCCTTATGCAAGTGTTACTGATAGAAAATTGTTACATTTTCTTTTAATAAACAAAAGGGACAAAATCTTTTATTCGTATTTTTCAAATAAAATGTGCTCTTTGCTATGGTGATGGGTTATTGTATTCCTCATCACAACCAGAATGTGTTATTTTGCCTTCACTCCTGTATTTTATGCCCACCAAGGAACCAGAACATCTGCGGACACTCCATCTTTATGACCCAGGTGTGACACAGTTGTATTAATGAGGCCAGTGTCAGAAACGGTGTGGGAACTTGAACTGGATCTAAAATGCCTGCTATTGTCCCTTGGTGTGCCACTATTTCAAAGACTGTCTCACATGATTATTGCTACAGATGGATGGGGATGGAGAGAGACACCATAAGATACTTTACAACAGGATGCAGTATAGCTGGTAAATGGTTCATTACTTTTACTTGTGGCAACTGTTCCTCTCCAACCATCACTGTCCTGAAACTGAAATACAGTGTTGTAGGACGAATACATTTACCACATGAGTGAATTGGGGAATTGCACATCTATGAATCCAAATTGGTGGTAAAAGCCATGATTGTTATCCCAAGTTGACACAGAAGGCAAAAGTAGACAAGGACATTTACAATGCTCAAGCTCAGGCACATGTAATGAAAGTGCACAGGAGTCAATCATTCTTTCTCAAAGGAATTAATAGGCTTTATCAACAAATGACATCTCAGAAAATAATGACACCAAAGCTCACAACAAACTTGCTGCAAACAAGTCTGTCTTTCCCAGACTGTCATAAAATTCAAACATGAAGTGAGGGTGGACAAGAAACAAGAGAATTTTCTTGTTGAACCCTACTTTATTGAACCCTACTTACTCTACTTTATTGTCCATGACTCAATTCAGATTGTATACCACTATACTATGCAATTTTCACATGTGCCTCACCACAAACAGAGAAAAACAAATTATGGTAAGATAGTATTTGCAAGATAAATATTGTCAGCCTGAATCTGAAAGCAAGTTCAGAGAGGTTTTGTGGTATTTGTTTTAGTCCTCAGTTGAAGTGTATAAACTTTAAAAAAATTTTGAGAATTATTTTAGATAATATTTTATATTCAAGATTGATTTTTTTTGTCTTAACAATGCTTTCTATCATCTTATATGGTTCTGAAATTGATTTTTAGTTGATTGATTTAGTTTTTTGTTTGGAGTCTATACTACTTCTATATATGTGGAAAATGTATCATTTATACTTAGGTGGAGAGAGTCTTCAAAAGCTAAAACATTTGCCTTGTGAGTTTGGCAGACTTCTTCTGTGGGTTTCACAATTCCATATAGCATTTTGTATTCTTGAAACTCCTCACAAGTCCACCAAGGAAGTTCCAAAGATCCAACAGAATTTCCACACTATCTGTCTCGTAATCTGGTCTGTTCTGGAAGTACATGCAACAGAGCTGATAGGCAGTCAGTACCTGCAGAAATATACTCATCCAGCTGAGATACCCTCAAAGCAAAAATGGACATTGGGAT